GATTTATACTTGTTTCGAGTTGTGCAGCGCCGTAGTTGGTGAGATGAGTTTAGTCTGTTAGTAATAGGGTGATGGCCGAACTATGACCGTCAGAGGTCCGCAGCTGTCACGAGACTCAATTGGCCCTCGTCCCTAACAAGTGGTGATAAGCTGTTCCTTTTAAGGATCATTTTCCGTCGTGTTTACCTCTATGTGGGTACGAGACCGAAATCAATAAACGCCAGTCAATGACAAGCTACCGGTTTTTCTCATGGAAGGGGAAATTGTTTTGGGTTTCCCAGAGGAACTTGATATCCTAAAGCCTCTCACATTTGCAGTGAGCTACTCATAGCAGTGCAATCTTCTAGAAAACACCTAGAATCATATACTTCCCAGAACTTTACGATGGTGCAGGTTACGAATGTTTGTGCGACGACGAGTACGAAGGTGACGTCTTGTTTAAGCCATATTGCGACGTATGATATGAGGCCAGTTTGATAGGGTTCTTGAGAGTGCTACAATTAAGAGTAGGTCAGAGTTGAAGATTGATTGCATCGGATGGAAAGGGTGGGGTGGTATTTAGACAGATGAACCGGGTTGAATGCAGTTGTCATTCTCATTCTCGTAATGCTTTCTAACGTCCGCTTTTCTTGTCTCCTTGTCAATGTCTTGTGACAGACTGCATCGTGTTGGGTTTGGTTAGGAAGCATATCGTTGTAAGTGACCGACAGCAAATAGTGGCGGCGAGACATGTTTCCGAGTTTCGTAATGTGGCGGAAATATTCCAGGTGTAGCCAGACGGTGTTACTAGACTTTACTCTCTCGATCCAAAGTACACTCGCTTGCAGAATCGGCTTCCGGTATCTACACTTCGCGCCCTTTCTCATAACAGGGGGTCAGCCTCGCTTAGTGGGAGCTATACCTCATACGCTTTAGATTAACTTAAACCGCCTAGCTCCTACTAGTATCTATCATATGATACTCCTCAATCGCAGGAAAGCCTACAAGATCCTAGCCAGTACGGGTCGGCCATCCTCCCCTGATAGCGCAGTATATTGTCTTACTGCTTCCCTGAAGAGCTAACGTAACATTCGTTATTACGAAAGGTCTTGCAGATATAGAAAATCTAGAATCTTCGATCTTTGTAGTAGCAAATATTCACCAATAAACCCTCCACGTCCACGCCAGGCATTATTTGAGTTAATAATAGATAAATTAACTCTCTTGTCCAAACTAATAAAATAAACAGTAATGATTGCGTGACTTTGAAATAATGTACAATTTTATAGTTCTTTATCTGTCTTGAGTGCCCTATATACCTTACAGTGCAAAATGGTATGACTCAATGCTCTTTGTGTGGCGGAAAGTGGAAATACTGCATTGACTGAAAAGAGCTAGTAGAGGAGGCAGCATTTATACCCGCTCTTCTGCTAGTCCTTGAAGCTCTAGTCTCTCAGGGCTTACTATGTACTTGAATCAAGGAGCAGCAGCTGACCTCTACATCAATAGTAGAACCAGAGTAGCTGGACCTGACATGACTCTCGAACCGTCACACATTGTGGGGCTGCCAAAATGCCAACTTTCTTTTCATTAGGGCTATTCAATGTAGTAGTATCAACCGACACGTTAGGTCTTTCTTGAAGGTTCTTCGGCCTCCTCTTCTCGAGATTGAGTTGCCTTTGCGCCTCTATCATACGAACGCATTCCCTGTGCTCCTTGCTTGCCATAGAAGACATGCCCTGCTCTGCCCGTTCCGTTGCCTCCAATGTACATTCCGTCGATCATAAGGTTGCCTGGCTTTACGCCTGCCTCAAAGCCGTACTCATCGCCATATATGCCAGTTGCATGACCTTCAATCTTAATATTGCGGAACTCGGAACGGTGTGCCTGAATATAGTTGCCAGTTGACTCGCTCAGCATTGCATCGTCTGTTGTTCCGTCCTTGTTCTTGAGTACTCTGTCAAGGTCGGGAACACTTTCTTTCTCGAGACTATCAACTTCCTGGTAGCAGAGTTGCTTGAGCCGAGGCTTATTCGATGGAAAGAGTTCCACAAGATTGTTGATGAGTGAAACGAGATCCCCGATCAAGGAGTCGAAGTTGTCTTTCCCATACAATGCCCACGAAACCTTCCGCGTAAAGTTGAGATGCTTCTGTCGCTCCTTTGCGATTGATCTCATAGAGGTGATAAGTTTCTTGACAGAACTTCCGGACTCCAGCATCTGTTCCTCCTCCAACAGCTCCAGCTCGTTATCTTTTCCCATCTTCTTTCTGCTGTCAGCATATTTCTCTGATACAGTCTTTGCATCTTCAAAAGTAGTTTCGATTTGGCCGAGCCATTGGTACGCTTTGATGATGTCTGCGTCTTTGTACCCCTTGATGTCGACTTTATTTTCTAAAAGTCCGATGGGCTCACCCCATCGAGTTAAGCGGACCTGGGCGGCTTCGAGTTTAGCGAGAGAGAACCCGAAGTCTGTTCCGAAACGCCGGCCGAGCCGAATGTATTGAAAGCAATTCAAGCAAGATATGAAGAGGCTTGGAATGCCTGCGATCGCGAATGAGAGAGATACAGGATCACTCATTTTGATAGTGGCTGAGTATGGTGGGTGTAGATTGGTGCCGCGGTTGTGGTAATGCCCTATGTTAAATGTGTGTGGCCTGGATGATAAGACTTAAGTAATGAATAGGTGATGTATTCCTATTTACGTAAAAAAGCATATCACGCCTGTTCAGCTCGTCTTGCGTTGCGCTGGTCGAAGCGCTAAATTCTTGTACCTCACTGGATGCAATGGATGCTAAAAGTTTGCGTGGCTATAACCTATCTGCAACCGGGCTTATCACCTGAGCCAGTGAAGAACTAGATGCAATACTTAGTCCGCTTAAGATGGTACAGCAAGGAGCAATGGTTGCAAGTGTTGCATGAGCACCAGCATCAGACTGGCAGCTCCCTAACTTAGAGATGCCCTGTAAGTAGCTTATACCATCACAGAAGAGTTGCCCGGCATCAAAGATAAGGGCCTGTTTGGCTGCCTAACTCCAACTCCAGCTGGTGCGTTAGATATGGCTTTTTTAGTGCGTTCAGCTGCCCCACTAAGCTATACTGAATTTAACAAAAAAATAAAGAGACTATTCAGCTACAATATTTCCAGCTCTGGTTCGCTAGTACATTAATGTAATTCTACGTCTTAGTAGATAGACCATGTGAGTTATAACTATTAGTCACGACTAATAGTTGTAAGTTAGAATGCTCAACAGCTACGTCTACTAAGGAACAGGGCTAATTATATACTAGACAAGATTTAAATCCTTTGCGTGAACGCTAATAGACTAGACCTCTAACTATATTGCTGAAGCTAGAGTTAGACAAAAGTGCTACTAAACACGGCCTCAGCTACAACTCCAGCTATCCCCACCTACTCTATCTAGTTTAGCGAAGCTAGAGTTGGAGTGCTGACAAACAAGCCCTAAGCCAATAGAAGACGTAGGGATGTGGGCTAGAATTACGAGCTGCAGACAAACGATCATCGAAACGATGACACGGCCGGAGATCATACGCGGCGTAGTGCTGGGCAGCTGAATCCGCCCAGTGCTGGGCAGCTGAATCCCCCCCACATCGAGCCCTACGTCTGGCTCTGCTTCAGTTGTGACCTAAACTCTCCACAACTCTGATCGTTAGGATATGCTTTAGACGACATTTTCACCAGCACTTTCAGCCATGGCAGCAATAGAGAGAAAATCTGGTCATAATTTGCAGAATATAAGTGTTAATGACAATGCCCAGTTTACAGTAGGAGATCGATTCTATTTTAGTATGTCACAACTCTCTACATTATTCTTCAAAAATAAGCGCTAACCTAAGCTTCAGATGAAGATACTTTCGACAATATCAACGATACTTGCCTTCGAGCTCTGCGATGCCCTGACACGCAAAAAGTCAAGAACTGGCTGAGAGAGAAGGACAAGCTACTTCCTGAAGCGATCGACTGGATATTCCGAGACACGCAGTATGAGAGATGGGACGAAGATGGCGTCTCCTTGCTTTGGATCAGGGGTGGTGCCGGTAAAGGAAAAACCATGATGACGATTCGTATCATTGATCAGATTTCACTTCCACAAAAACCATCGACCGTGGTGACATATTTCTTCTGCCGAAACGACGACTACAAGCTCAACACTGTCGAAGCGATCATTAAAGGCCTGATTCGACGCTTAGTGACTCAGCAAAAGGCGCTCTATGAACCCTTACGTCGCCGCTGGGACACGGCTCATGAACGCTTCCACAAAGACCTTACCTCATGGCGAACACTCTGGGACATCTTCCTAGAGATGTTAGAACTCTGCAAGAGCCGGAGAGTATACGTTATTGTAGACGGTCTGGACGAGTGTCAAGACAACGGCATGGCTGAATTCCTCAAGCTCGTTGTCCGAACTGGGCTCAACTCAAAAGCCAAATGGCTACTGACAAGCAGCTCGCTGGACGTTGCGAAGCAAGAGCTTCTTGGTGACACAGACCAGGTGCTGATAAACTTAGAGCTGAACGAGGGTCATATTACGCAAGCTGTGAGGACGTATGCGGCTAAGCGAGCAGCTGACCTAGATCGTCGGCATGACTACGGGGCTGTTCGCTGTAGGCAAGTTGAAGCGGCGCTCATCGAGAAAGCTGAGGGTACATTTCTGTGGATTAGCTTGGTGTGCGCCAGGCTCGAGAATGTCGACCCTGACGAAGCACTGGCTACGATCGAATCGTTGCTACCCGGTCTTTATGGACTCTATGCCCGGATCCTTCATCAAGTTGTTTCCGGAAAGCCTATCATTATCGAGAGCTGTACGCGCCTGCTGAAGGTAATGCTGCTCGTCCATCGGCCACTGAGATTCGAGGAAGTCATTAGCGTTACAGGCCTTCGGGACGATAGAATTCCCCTAGCAACGCTAATCGATCGATGTTCGTCATTCATCAGAATGCGGGAAACAGTTCTCGAATTTGTTCACAAGACAGCGCCTGACTACCTGAGGGGGCATGATGGACGCTCGATATTGGCCACCCACACTGCCTATGGACATGAGCATATCTCGTTGAGCTGCTTATCGTACCTGAGCGAGTCACTGGAGATGAACATAGGTAACCTTCCGCTGCCTGGTTCGTCTCAAGAAGCGATTGGGAAGGAGAACGTGAAGTTAGGTCCATTGAGCTACTGTAGCACTTTTCTGCTACAGCATCTCCAGGACGGCTGGGGCACACAAGCTATACAGCAAGCAGCCGACTCACAAGGCGAATTCTACGTATTCTTCCGGACGAGGATTTTGGAATGGCTGGAATGCCTAAGCCTTTTAAACGAGTTACCGCGTTTTATTCATGGGCTTAATGCATTGAGGGGTATGGTCGAGGTAGGTATCTCGTTCTTCGATCTGACCTCCTTCTTACTCACTATATGCTGTAGGACGGTGCAGCAATACCGGTACTCCTCAGTGATGCTGCAAGATTTTTGCGGCGGCATTACCAGACAATCGCGCGGTGGCCACTCCAGGTCTACAGTTCGGCAGTTATATTTAGTCCTCAGCACAGCATAATTCGAGAAGAGAATCTTGGCAAGATTCCTACCTGGCTCAACAGGCTTCCCAAAGTCGAAGAAGAATGGTCATCCCTAATTCAGACGCTAGAGGGCCACTCTGATCAGGTCAACTCTGTCTCTTTCTCGCCAGATGGGCGGCAACTAGCATCAGCTTCGTCAGACAATACTGTTAAGCTATGGGACACAGCAACGGGCGAGGTTTTAAAGACAATAGCGAGCCATTCCCACTTCGTTATTGCTATTGCGTTCTCGCCAAATGGCCGGCAGCTTGCATCAGGGTCGTGGGACGGCACAGTCAAGCTACACGACACGGCAACAGGCGAGGAGCTGAAGACGTTTGTGCACCCCCGCCATATAGTTAGCGCTATTGCATTCTCACCAGACGGACAGTTCCTTGTGTCGGCGTCATGGAACGCGAGGTTGATCCGACCGCCATTCGACGTAACCGTCAAGCTGTGGAACACGGCGACAAGCGAAGCTCTAGGGACTCTAGCTGACCACACCCATATTGTCAATTCCGTAGCGTTCTCACCGAACGGGAAGCAACTCGCGACTGCATCATCGAGAAGCGTCAAGTTATGGGATGCGGAGACAGGTAATAAGCTTGAGACCCTGGTGGGCCACTCCGGTGAGGTCAACGCTATCGCATTCTCGCGGGACGGGCGTCAACTTGCGTCAGGATCAGACGATGGGACTATTAAGTTATGGAGTACGAGGAGGACAGGTCGTGAGCCTAGGACGCTAGCAGGTCACTCCTCTAGGGTCCAGGCCGTCTCGTTCTCGCTGGACGGGCGGCGGCTTGCGTCGTCGTCATCAGACGCGACGATTAAGATATGGGATACAGCGACAAGCAGGGAGCTTGATACGCTAACAGGCCACTCTGGTGGAGTCAAAGCCGTCTCCTTCTCGCTAGTAGACGGGNGCGTCGTGGGACACGACGATTAAGATATGGGATACAGCGACAAGCAGCGAGCTCGATACGCTAACAGGCCACTCTGGTGGAGTCAAAGCCGTCTCCTTCTCGCCAGTCGGGCAGCGGTTCGCGTCGGCATCGTCAGATGGGTTAATTAAGATCTGGCACACGGAGACAGGCAAGGAGCTGAAGACGCTAGTAGGACACCCTGACCGGGTGTCGGGGGCACTGGCTGCTAAAGCTGTCGCGTTCTCGCCGGACGGGCGGCGGCTCGTGTCAGCGTCGTTAGACAACTCTGTCACGCTATGGAACACGGCGACAGGCGAGAAGCTTAAGAGGCTACTTAACCACTCCGATTGCCATTGTGTTAGCTTCGGCAAGATTTTGCCGAACGGGCAACGACTTGTGTTCTCACAGGACGGGCGGCAGCTTGCATCGGCCTTAGATTATCGGGCGGTTCATCTGTGGGACCTGAGTGGGCCAGTTCAGCGTTCAACCCTTTCTAGGTTTCTAACATTTGCTACTGAACTTTGGGATACACCACTACGTCCGTACCACAGTATCGAAATCACAAGTCCCGTAACCTACGTGAAGTTCTCAACTACTGGCGAACGGCTCGTTACCAACATCGGACAAATCGGCCTGACAGATGTTGCCACGGAAAAGAAGCACATACGTGATGACTGGTTGGGCGAACTTTGGGTTAGCGACCAGTGGATATATTACGGGAGCATCCCCGTGCTGAGGTTATCTTCTGATGCTGATGTGTCTTGCTTCGATACGGTAGGCAACGATATCGCTGTTGGATTTGGAAATGGCCATGTTCTGAGCCTTGCTATCAATTGCAAGATTCTCGGACTGAAACTTGAGCATAAAAGGAGACCTTGATAATAGACGATACATTAGTATATATGTACACTTCTGTCACTGCAGAACGTTCGACAGATTGGCAGTGGGAGCTATCGGATGGGAAGCGCTTAATAGCATGTGCCTTGTCTACTAATCTACCCATTGCTCCCATTTGATCGGCCTTCTATTGCAAGGTGCCTCCACAGATATGCAATGTCCACTATATTGTATCCTCAGACATTGGAGTGTTTGCGTAGAGAAAATATACTCTATTGTTGGAATCAATTGGGACTCGACCTGGAGTCCTACTGATCCGCGACACTGATTGGTCGACATGGGCACTGGCAAAGGCGCCTATTGGCCCGTGCGCGTAGGCGCTGTATATACTCAACACGATAGCAGATACAAGAGAATCAATCCGCTTCCTCACTATAGTATTGCAGCTGCAAGTTGATTCACCCCGTGACACCTTTATCAGGCCAACATCTATATTATATGTTTTATTATCTCGGTTGCATAAAGCGGCCTGAGGATTAATGTAGCTATATAGCTTGCTAATTTGCCACATCGAAGCTTCGAATTTCTTCTCATCATAACTGGTGAAGATTCGCCACTTCAGCCCCGTCGAGAGTAAATGAACGCCTGAATCACGCTAGCAGGGAGGGACAGCCGAGCCGCTCCGGCTATAGAGTGGTGAGCTTTCCGGTGATGGAGCAGTATCATTTTATGTATAGTGTCGCAGCCTATGCAAGGCTGCAGAAGCTATTATTTCAGCTTATCCGAAGCGACAAGCCACTGTCACTGCAACAAGGATGCATGACCTCAAAAACGAAAAGCCATGGCTATACACCATAAATAAACGAGGATGGTATATAGCAGAAAATACAGATCGAATTTTCTCCGCACCCACGCGTGCAACATATAGATAGTGATTAGCAGGAGCTAGGCAGCTTGAGTTGATATAAAGCGTATGAGGTATAGCTTCCGCTAAGCGAGGTCGACTCCCCTGCTGTGAGAAAGGGCGTGAAGTTTAGATACCGGAAGCCGATTCTGCAAGCGAGTGTATCACCGACTATCTGCGAACCGGGAGGTAGATCTGAGGAGCTGAAGATACTGTGTGTGTCGTCCATGTACGTCGAGAGTGACAAATCAATATGGACAACTTACGCGCGTTCACTACTAGCCAGAGATAGCATAGGGTGTAATCAGTTTCGTTGGTGCATAGTTTGCAACTAGGTAACTGGAGCAATTGCGGTGAAGGTGAGTCTAGTCAGCATAGCGTGGACATTGAAATGCCTCACAGGTGCAGCTGAAGGAGGCGATTGTCCAATGTAGAGTTTGGGTCTCGTGATGCCGTTCGAGCAAGGACACGGCCAGGGTTGCCCCATCTGCCGCGGAGAATGCTTAACAAACATGTGGCTGTGCGAATACAATAAAAGGCTGCATGTGCCACATGGCCTGCGCCACGACGACCTGCGTGTGTGAACAAGGGGTCACGAGCTGAAAGTTCAAACTCTAAATGACACCTCCATCTCGAAACACTATTACAGATGCAGCAGCATGGGGTCTTTACTGTGACTGGTGGAGGGATCGAATGCGTCTGGGCTTTAAATTGTGAAAGATGTCAGACGGCGTCGTGGCGGGCGATCTAGATTGGCGATTTTGGGCCAGGGGGGTGTGGGACATTGCAGTCCTTCCCGCCCGCAGTGGGCGCTGCGTGTCAATCTGACCGGATCCAGACGCCCAGTTGGAAAATGAATGTGGTGAGGGAGCACAGTGGCGGTCTCGCAGTTGACAGCACACGGGAGAGATTTGTGTTTTCATGCCCCCTTGCTAGCCTGGCCGTTCGCCCAGCCTCGCTCTGTGCAGCGATTGCGGGCAGATTGACGTGACATTTGCACCACTGCCAGTGCGATCGCCAGCATCGCTTTCGCTTGGCAATGTCCCGTCGCCTGGCTCTGATGGGGCACGTCACGAATTACCGTTGTGCATTTGCGCCGCTTCGGTAATTCCCTTGTGCGCATCACAGCGGTGAATCGGTACGAAGACGAAAAGGCAAAGGTACGACAGCTCCGCACCGCCGACCCCGCCGCCGACCCCCCTGTCGCCGCATTGCCCCAGATGCATCCATGGCGACAGGGTGACAGGGTAAGAGATGAAGGCAGTCGTCAATTGAGGCTGAGAACGGCGCATAGAGCGTTCTCTCAGGGTCCAGATGGCTGGGAGACGGGCAGCAACGAGCAGAAGCTGGGCGGTTGGCGCTCAGGCTTGTGTCGCGCTATAGGGCCGATGGCTGTAGTGGCCGCAAGGGCCACGACGTCACACTAGGCGCGTCTGCCAATCCTGTTTATTTGGACCCCGTACAGGGGAACCCTCCTCCGATATAGATACGGCGCAATACTACATAGTACATTCGTTTCTCCACCCCACATCTTGCTCTTGTGCATCTCCCTCCAACCTCGAGGGCGCGTGCCATTGTCGCATCGCATCGCCCATCATGTCGTCCACCGTTAGTCCTACCGCCACGACCCCAGCCACTACCCAGCCCGCTAATTGTACCAAAATAGGGTGGTGAAATTGGCAAGGCCAAACAAGAGTCCAACAGCTCCGTGTCCAGCTTCGTCTCGACGCTGATCCCCGCCTCCATCATCGCCTTTGCCTTTACCGCTGCTTTCTTCGTTGCCCGCAAATATTTCCGTAGGGTCTATGCGCCCAGGACGTACCTCAACCACCTGGGCAAGCAGCGCCAGACGCCAGCCCCCAGCCCCAGCTTATTTGGCTGGCTCAAAGATTTCAAGAACCTCAAGGATGAATACATCCTCGACCACCAGTCCATTGACGGCTATCTCTTCGTTCGCTTCTTCAAGATCCTCATCGCCACTAGTTTTCTCGGATGTCTAATCACATGGCCCGTCTTGTTCCCCGTCAATGCCACTGGTGGTGCGGGCCAGACGCAGCTGGATCTTCTCTCCATGAGTAACATTGACCCCAGGGGCACCAACGTCAACCGTTACTACGCTCAAGCCGGCATTTCATTTATTTTCCTTGGTTTGATCCTGGTCATTATTGGTCGCGAGTCTTTCTTTGTCGTCAACCTACGTCAAGCATACCGTCGTTCACCGTGGGGAGCCAGTCGCTTGTCTTCGCGCACTATCCTCTTCACCAATGTGCCCAAGACGCTTTCGCAGTCGGCCTTGTTCGAAATGTTCCCTGGCGTCAAGCACGCCTGGGTTGCCTCAAACACCAAGGAGCTGGATGAGCTGGTCGAAGACCGTGACGACACTGCCGCCAAGCTGGAAACCGCCGAGGTGGAGCTACTGACCAACGCCAACCAGAACAGACTCAAGGCCGAGAAGGGCAAAAAGCATTTTGTCGCTGAGAACGTGAGCGACGGCACCAAATGGGTTGACCCCAAGAAGCGACCAACCCACAAGCTCAAGTTTTTGATTGGCAAGAAGGTCGACACTATCGAATACGGCCGGTCTCACCTCGCTGAGCTCATTCCTAAGATCACGGCCGAGCAGGACAAGCACTGGAACGGCGAGGGTGACCTTGTTGGAGCTGTTTTCATCGAATTCGAAACTCAGAGACTTGCACAGGATGCATGGCAGATGATGCAATCAAGGAAGACCAGGCCCAACAAGAGCCTTCAGGCTCGGCAACTCGGCGTCATGCCCCAGGAGGTCGTGTGGGGCAATCTGGGCATCAAACCTGCTGAGCACTATGTTCGATGGGCTCTTGCTACCGCTTTCATTTCTGTCATGATCATTTTTTGGGCAATTCCTGGTATGTGCAATATCATGACTTGTTCCTTGCCCCTCGCTAACCACATACAGTCGCTTTCGTCGGTCTTATTTCCAACATCAACTACCTCGCCGAGCGCTTTACTTGGCTTCATTGGATTCTGGACATCCCCAAGGTCATTCTCGGTGTAATTACCGGCCTGTTGCCCTCAGTTCTCCTTGCTGTTCTCATGTCCCTCGTTCCTATTGTTTGCCGTCTCATGGCTAAATTGGCTGGTTATGTCACTTACAGCCAGATTGAGCTCAAGACCCAGAACTGGTACTTTGCCTTCCAAGTTGTACAGGTTTTCCTTGTCGCAACTTTGTCCGGTGCCGTCACATCCGTTATCAACGATGTGCTCAACGACCCTGGCAGCGTCTTGACTCTTCTCTCCACCAACCTGCCAAAGGCTTCCAACTTCTACATCAGCTACTTCATTCTCTTGGGTCTTTCCTCGGCTGCTGGCACCCTGCTCAACATTGGTGGTTTCGTCGTCGTCGTTCTCCTTGGGCGTGTCCTTCCTGGAAAGACACCTCGTAAGATCTTCCAGAATCTCACCAAGCTCTCCGCTCCATCATGGGGTTCTGAGTTCCCCAAGTGGATCAACTTGGGGGTTATTGCCATTACCTATTCCGGGATTGCACCTCTTATCCTCGGTTTCGCCACGGTTGGATTCACTCTCGTCTACATTGCGTTCAGGTACAACTTCCTGTATGTGTACGAGACAGACCTCGATACCAAGGGCGATGCGTACCAAAAGGCTCTCCGTCAGCTTATGACTGGTGTCTACCTTTCGGAAATCTGCCTCATTGGTCTCTTCGCTATCGCCACGGGCAAGAATGCTCAAGCTGCCGGTCCGCTCGCGATAATGTGCCTCTGCCTGCTGCTCACCCTTATCTTCCAATTCACGCTCAAGACCGCCCTTCAGCACGAAGAAGCTCGCCTCGCCTATACTGACATCCCTCCGGCCCACGGCGGCATGCGCAACGAAGAAGACGGCCTCGTCGCCCAAAACGGTGAAAAGGCCCACACCACCGAGGCAACTCCCGGCTACGCACCCAAGCCCACGCACATGCCCGCCTTCCTACGCAAGATCCTCAACCCAGAGAAGCACTCGCTGCACGCCCTCTCCGCCTCCCTCGACCAATTCTACCACACCCCCCAGGATCCTCTCCCCGTCGAAATCCAGAAACGCGCCTTCTTCAACCCTTCCATCACGAGCCCCACGCCCGTCATCTGGATCGTCAAGGACGACATGGGAATCAGCACCCGCGAGATCCAAGACACGCAAAAGGCTGTTCCCGGGCTCATTATTACAGACGAGCAGGCCACGTTTAATGAAAAGGGAAAGGTGTACTGGCACGGTGTGGACGATGGTCAGGCGCGCGAGGCACCCGTATTTGACGAACGCATCATGTACTAGGAGTACAAACGACTTTGTAGTTGTGCGTTCCATCACATGATGGATGGAGTTTTATACCCAACGAAGTTTATGTTTTCGGGAAGGGAACAGAATTTGTCTTTTTCTTTTTGTGTGTGTGTGTGTGTGCTAATATATCTTCGGTCCTTTTCTTTTGTATTGGATGAATCTTTTTCGCGAGGAAGGCAGTAATATGGCAAATCAAGAAACTGAAATGTGCAGTAGGTAGAGCCGTTTATGCAAAGTATATACATAGTTAATGTAAGACTGACTTCGAATACTATCACATTTGATGCATCAAACTGTACATATCATTTCACAAATCAAAATCATACTGGCACTGGCGTTATCTTCATTTAGATCATAACAAAGTGGACGTCAGACAATTTCTGCGTACACAAAAAACTCCTCTAAACCAGTTTGAACGCTGCACTCTTACCCTCAAACGCCTCAATGCTACCACCAAGCTTCTTGGCATCACCGTTATACTTGATGCGATAAGTCCCCGCCGCAGGTGCCGTGAGACCCGTGTCCCACGTAATGGTAACGTCACTCGTACCTGTCAGGCCATTGACGCGCTTCCACTCATAGAGCAACTCCCAGTCTTCGTCATTCTTGACCTGTGTCCACGTACCATCGGCTGCCTGTTTTTCCACAGAAGCAAAGGTGCCTTCGAGACGGAGGTTATTGCGCGGGTTGGCGCCGACAAAAGTGGCGCTGACCAGGGCCCCGCGGGCGTAGCTGGATGCAACGTCTTTTGTGACCTGGCCGAACGAGCGGCCGATGCCTGCACCGTCGTAGACAACGCCAGTGATGAGCGAGATGCTCTTGTCACGGTTATCTGGAGGCGAAGGGCCTGGTGGAGGAGCGCTCCTTGACCCATCGGCAATGTAGGGTAGGTATGTCAAAGTGGAGTTGATGAAGGCGTTTAGCGTATGTGGGCCGTAAAGCGTGGACGCACCCTCGTAGCGCTGGATGCTGTACTCTTCCTCAGTGGCAATGTAGTGCGTGTATGTATTTCCTGGTCCACCGAGCACGACAATGGGCGACGAAGCAATGTCTGCTGAGACAACAGCGTTATGGACTGCTTCACGCCAGCGGCGACCAGACATGGTGGTTGCTTCACCGGGTGAGACAATAATGACAAATTGACCAACGCGAAGTAGCTGGATGTCAACAATATTAGGGGACCAAGGGTAAGGCACAGTTGCCTGACCAACATTCAGCAAAACGGGCTTTGGGTATTGACATGCCCTTTGCTCCTGGCTTGGTGGGGAAATGGCACTGCCGACAACGTTCCAGAAGGGATTCGAGGGCGCACCAGGATCATTTTGGACAAAATCAAATGCACCAGGTCCATCAGAAGTTCCAGCGGCGAACGAGTTACCCATTGCTGCAGGACATGTACGGACTGTAGATCCATTGCTCAACGTGAAGGTAAAGTTGGAGAAGTCGACAAAAGTATGGAAAGAGCGAATGCTACCGGAGATGGCTGTGAAGGAGGCCGAATCGTAGATGCCCTTGGCGCCTTGATATTGACGCTTGCCAATCTCGTAACAAGACTTGTGGCCACCGTCGTTAAGACCATAGTATGGGCCACGACCATGACAGTCCTGACTCTTGCCTCCGCAAGTACTGTCGTTTAGTCTGCACTGCGAGCCAGATCCATCTTCGCAGTAAGCACCAAGAACGTTGGGGGTCGTGTCACCGACGTTGGCCTGTGAAAAGCCTGCGACAAAGCCCTGGGCGGCATTTGCTTGGTCAGCGCTTGCCTCCATATCTTGCTCGAAGAGATATGCGGCGACACCTTTGTTGTCTCCAGCGATGAGCGTTTGGTTGCCAAGCAAGCTGGTACCATGGGTCGGGAACCAGTTCAAGACACCAATATTCTTTCCATCACTGGCTCGCGTAAACTTGAGCAACGTCATGGTCTTGTCTACATCGTCCGTGTAACGGTCGCGCTCAGCTTGGGGGTTGGCAAGATAAGCAAAGAGACTGCGGTTGATGTTTGCATTGGCAATTTTGGCGCTGCCAACACTGACAGTTCCCAGTGTCAGGCCTTCGTGTGCTCTCTTGATCGACAACAGCGTTCCGTCAACGATGGCTTGATAGCTCTGCTTGTCAAAGCCAAGGCTGGTGATTTGTGGCAGGAGATAGTTCAACCAAGCACCTGGGCCAGCATGGCTGTGGGTACCTGTCACGGCTACATTGTTCTTTGTGTAAACGGAGTATTCAGGGCCCATTCCCTGGAGGCCCTCCAGGATGCCATTACGAATAGCAGTGTCTCCAGACTGGGTGTCTAGGACGAGGTACACAAATCTCTCGCTTGCAACGCTCGGGTTGCCGATAATGAAGGCGCGTGAGTAAATGCGCTGGCGCAGTCCCGTTCCTATTTGCGATGAGTTGGCATAGCCCATCAAGTTGAGCTCGACAACAGGGCTATCAAGCGGTTAGCGACGGCAAAACTCAGGCAACGTCAGTTGTATAATACCCAGTGATGTCTCCTTTGCCAACGCCGATGAGGTACGAAGACGCATCTTGGGCGGCGGGACCGTCATCCTGCTTCTCACTGAAGAACGAGTCCTGCTGAGCGCCAGTGTAGGTTTGGTCGAGGCGCGCATGCCAAAAGTCGACCGAAGGGAATCCCAAGTTGATGACGAGTTGGCCAATGATCAAAGAGGCAAGTAGGGCGGCGCCCAAAGCGACGGCAATGTGCGAGCGGGCCATTGTCGCAGCAAAATGGGCGTGCGGAAGTGTGCGGAAGGACAAAGCAAGAGAGCGAGATGCTCAAGAGGGAGGTAGCAGGTACTTGTATGTTTACGGTGGACGCATGGAGAAGGAGCTGTGGTGCAGGTACGGGTGTATCCCAGGATTACAGGGAGTATGCTCTTGGCCACAGAAGCCGCCCTGGCTGTGGTTGGAGGGTCTGGCATTGGTTGCATGACGCTGCGGGGATGCTGGCGCTGTGGTTGGTGGGGATGATGTGCGAACAAGGCCCCGTAGCTTAATTTTATCGGGTCAAGCTTTCTTTGGCTTCGCGACCTTGGGCACAGCCAATACACCATCTTCCCGTGCCCCTGCACATCGCCTGCAACGATGCCACTCATTCAAGCCTCCTACGATGACCTCCCTTGTACGTAAATTGCCGTCGCCAGGAACAGCTGCAAGTCCGATGCGCCGCGCTGCGTGCTGGGGGGACTGCGCGCGTGATAACGGATGCAAGCTGCATGCTAACTCGTTGCAGACGTAGATACGCAGCTCGACGCAAACAGCATTGCTGCTGCCAAAGCTGCCATTGACGCCGACATTCGCAGCGCTGGCGTAGACACCTCTGAAATGCATCCCGCCCTTATACCAGCCGCCGCTGTGTACACACCAACTTTTTCCGACTTCATCTCGCGCGAGCATGCGCGTCTCGACGACGACCCCACCTCCAAGCTCTCAGGCATAGACCTGAAGCGCTATGAAGATCTCGACGCGCCTGAGAACACGAACCCGACGACTGACGAGGACCGTCCTGAGCTACTCGAGCGATGGAGCAAGGCTCTGAAGCAGGCATACACTAGCTCCGAGTACGTCCAGGGCAGACTGACCCAGCTCAGCTTGCTGGAGAAGTTTGGCAAGAACGCATGGCTGGTGGGAAACTCGCAGCTTGAGGATATCTTGAAGAGCATCGAGGCTGAGCTGGCCAGTCTGAAGAAGCAACAAGAGGAGACGGACATGGCCAGGAGGGCACAGCAGGACAGCGTGAGCGGTGAGATCAAGACGTTGGAAGAGACGTGGAAGAAGGGCCTGGGGAGACTGCTTGAGACCGAGGTTGCGGCAGAGGGACTCAAGCAGCAGATTATGGACAAGAGGAAGGCTGGTGCTGTTTGAAGTGCCTGTGATGTGCCATTTGACTTGGTAACTGCCGCGTTATGATACCCGATTGCAATGAATACATTATCCTTGCCTTGTTGATGTTAGCGTTTGTGATGCTTGGTCATATTTCCAGGTATTAAATTCTCCGTGAGGAGATGCTTGTGCTTGCAGGAAGAGCGTTCATAGACGGCCCGCTTGTTTTTAGCTCCTCGTATACGAAAAGCAGATCAAGTTCGTGTGCAGAAGAATCCCAGTAGGGATACACTGATGTCAATAGCCCGACATGAGCCTTGATCTGTATACTAGATTTTCCTCTTATCCATCTCTAACTACGGAGCTTAATAGACACTGATAACAACGCAAATACACCATCCCATCCTTGGCACCTCGACTTCTCACTCCAACAACTAGCGTCCCAGCCAGTCAAACCTCTAACCCATCTCAGCCCCGGAACAACTGATCCCCCGAGCCTCGGCTCAACCCCAGCTTTCCACCCCAACCAACATCCGACGCGACGATCGCTTTAGCCGTGGTGCCGCTATGAGCCTGCATATCCCTCTTCCTCCCCTGTCCTTCCTACTATCCACAATCCAAACACTCTTACCCAAAACTTTCTCCTCTTCCAATTAAAATCAAAAGAGAAACAAAGGAAAAAAGAAATCATATCGAAAACATGGAAAACACCACCCTCTTCGACGTCAGCGTACGTAATCCCTCCCCCCCGACGTAACGTACTATTCTGTAGTATATACTAACTGAACATCGAAACAGGGCAAAGTCGTCCTCGTAACCGGCGGCGCCAAAGGCATTGGCCGCATGATCAGCGAGGGCTTCGTACGCAACGGTGCCACCGTCTTCGTCTCCTCGCGCGACGCCAAAGCATGCGAGGCAGCGTGCAAGGAGATGAATGCGCTGGGCAAGGGCAAGGCAGATTTCATAGCCGCAGACTTGTACAAGGAGGATGCGGCTGCGTATATTGCCGCGGAGTTGGGCAAGAGGACTACGAGTACGTATCCTTGTCTTCATTCTTTTCGTCATAATAGTACATGGGAGATTTGGGGGGGGGGGTTGAGGGCTAATGTTTTGGGCAAACAGAACTCGACGTCCTCGTCAACAACAGCGGCAGCAACTGGGGCGAATCCTACGATAAATACCCCGCGGCGGCTTGGGACCGCGTGCTGAACCTCAACCTCAAGCGCGTCTTCCAACTCACACAGGCCGTTACGCCCCTGTTGGAAGCAGCAGCTTCGCCCTCCTCCCCCGCCCGCATTATCAACATCGGCAGCGTAGACGGCCTGCGCGTCCCCGCCCTCGAGACGTTTGCGTACTCGGCGTCTAAAGCCGGATTGCACCATATGAGCCGGGTGCTGGCGAGCCATCTGGGTAAGAGGGGGATTACGAGTAATACGATTGCGTGCGGTCCGTTTCAGAGTAAGATGATGAAGGCGACGCTGGAGAAGTATCAGGATGTGATTACGGGGGGTATTCCGCTGGGCAGGATCGGTACGCCCGAGGATGTAGCCGGCACATGTATTTGGTTGTCCAGCCGAGCGGGGTCGTATGTCAATGGTGCGACGATTACGTTGGATGGCGGCAGTGTTGTTGGTGCCAAGTTGTAGAGCTTGGTTGGCATGGCGTGTAAAAAAAGTAAGCCTAGTTATCGAATCCATGTAGTACGCATAGAAAAAAACAAGAAACGTAATTAAACCCTCAAGAATGCATGGGCTCTGTACATATTAATAATGGTTTTTCATTCTTGCGAATTAGAATATCTAGACATACACGGAATCTAGTATACTCTAGAGCACATCCCAACCCGCCCCTAATGCTTGCAACACATAAGAAATTGGAAGCCAACAATGCAAAAATAAAAGAATATTCTGTGCATCCAATCCCCCTCAAAGACAAGAAAACACACATACATGCCTTGATAGTCCCTAATTTCCTGAGCCAGAAGAAAAAAGAATAGAAGAAAACAAAAGGGGAAACGAAACAAACGAAAAAAGAAGAAGATAATAATGCTGTGGTATCATCCATATGCAAAAACAAGGACCCTCAAAGAAACACCTATTGAACGCCCGTCCCTCCCTATACTTTAGGGGATTTGAAATTGCAGAGCTTGCACTCAAACTCACGGACAAGTCAAGCTCCTTGACCTCTTACTCTCACCCAAGGCCAAGGCGTCTGCTCTCAAGTTCTTTGGCACCTTTGCCTTTGCCCAGCACTGCATGGCGACGCGCCTCATGAGCTCGACCTCCTCATCACGGAGCCTAAGCTGTCTCTTAGCGAGCTTGCTCTTCCTGAGCTTGACGCCTTTTTCCGGGGCAGCTTGGCCAGAAGCAACAAAGGGGACGCTGGGGTGCGTCATGCCGCGCTTGGAGGCTGGGCGGTCGGTGGTGGTAGGGGATGAGACGAGGGACTCGAGGTTTATGCATTCGGCGATGAGGGCCTGGATGCCGGCGGAGAGCTGGGTGGCGCGCGAGAGGATGTAGCTCCAGATGTCTGAGCCTTCCCAGAAGGGGTCGTTGATGACTGCGTGCTGGAGGGCGGGAAGGATGTGGGGGAGTGGGGGCAGAGTCCGGTCTTGAGAGTCCTGCGAGGGGGGTTCTTCCTGCGTGGGTGTGGCGACGCTTGCGGTGCTGAGAAGGCTGGCGGCAATGGTCAGGCGGATGTGGCTGTCGGTGCTCAATGTCTCGGTCACAACACAGGCTGGGCAGCCGCGAGTGTGGCACCAGTCAGCCTCCTCGGTGATGAAGCATTGCAGGCCGATGAATGCACTGCGGGATTCGCCCGAAAAGGCGAGTTCAAGGTCGGAGGCCCGCTGGGTGCATAGGGCGGCAGAGGCTAGGGTCGAGGCCCGTGAGAACAAGGTGACAATGGGCATGATAAGGGCGTGGAGGATATCGCGGTGGAGCAGCCATGTTTGCTTGGCTTGGGGTGAGCATGTCGAATGTGAGGCACAAAAACTATTGGATCCATTAGCCTGTGTACTTGCAGATGGATGGTGATGCTGGGTTGGTAGGTGGATGGGGTGGGTTGGATTGGGTAGGATGCTAACTGCAGTGGTACTGGAGCAGCAAGCGTGCGATAGGCCGGTGCGATAAGCTCCCGGACGCGGACAAGAGAACAACAGGACAGCACATACTCGGCCTGGCCCGCCAAACACCTCCTCAGCGCACAAAACGCCTTTGACGAGTTGAGGGCATCGACATCCTCCTGGGAAATGGCAAACGGACTCTCCGTGTATATCGCGTGACAGTTATCCATTGTGGTGATAGTGGTGAGGGTTGTAGTCGTAGTAGTAATAGTAGTAGGCTGTCTCTTTGGGCTCGCTTTGCATCGGTATCCGAGTGACGAGTGACGTGTGTGCAGGCTCCGGGGCTATTATAAGCTGTCTCTCCCTGTCTCTTTCTCTGGTCCGTCTCTCTCTCTCCGCACAAGAACAAGCGAACGGGACAAGGGGGAGGGCGGATATGCCGGAAAAGTAAGGCGAGAAGGTTGTAGAAAGCAAAGGGGAAAGCAAAGGTCAAGAGGAGAGGCGGGATGGAAGATTCGAGGACGGGGTTTTTTGGGCAACTTGGAACAAGGGACGCCGTTCCCTATTATTTCACCCAAATGACGCGAACGAGCCTCCCTCACGCCGACATGCTAGGGGCGCCTGTGAGTGGGGGCGTGTGGTCGATCTAGACTTGCATCCGCACACGCCCCCTTTCCCCATCCGCTTGCACGCTTGCATACCACGCACCGCCCGTCTGCATCTCGCGACACTCTATTCAGCCACGGCCTGCCCTAGCCAGCCCGCCTTCTTGCTGTCACAGAGGCGAGGGGACTCGGCCGGGAGCCTGTGTCGCACACAGACTTTATTGTTCACCATTAATACTGTTATTTTTGTCCGCCGACAAGGGCCTCCCAGCAAGGCCTCGCTCAGGGGGGGGGGGGGCAATTCAGCTAGTCGATTCGCTTGCTGCACTCAATCATCGTGGCACATTATCAGAGTGGGTTTCCTGTTATCGGGGGTGGAGAATGGGGAAAGCAAGATATGGGTCGACATGGCATCTGTCGTCGTGCAGCTCTTCACCGCCCATGAACCCACCACCGAGGTTGACAGCATCAGCCCATGCGGAACCGCCCAATCGATATGGCACACGGATTTCATACCCGGATATCTGGCGCCTTGTCTCTCCACTGAGACAAGCAAAACAAAAACCCAGGGACTGACCGTGCTCCTACGTCTACCATCGGCTTCGTCATAAAACATGTTTCGATAGACACAGCTGTCACTAGTCTCGTCAATGTCCTGCATCGTCGACTCGTGCCTACATGTGCCAGCTGAGCAAACAACCGCCAGCACTATCGAAAAAAAGGCCGCAACTGCGTCAACCGCCAACGTCAGCCAAGCACCCATTTCGACTATCGTCATCTCACTCTCTTTCTTTCCAACGGCCCGTTGACGGAGAAGTCGCTGGAAATTGCAACGCCGGCGGAGATTTTTGGTTCCAGTTGTCGCGCCATGGGATCGGCGGGGCAGGACGCGTACGCCTGCCAATGGCGAATACATACACGCCCACACCTGTGTACATGTACAAAATCACACAACCTTCTTCGAGTCAGTGCACTCGAGTGCACATGAACACCGTAAGTACATGTCTGCTGCATTGCAAGCGCCCACTCGATTTGCTCTGGGACCGAAAGTTGCCTCCGGACGTTCTTGCACGCACTAGATTGGCTGATTCACGCACTGGTGGGGACTGGTGACGATGGCGTCTTACGCTACGGGCAGACGGGCACTCCCGTGATCGGCACTGCAGCTGGAATTTCTCTCTTCCTAATACCCTAAGCCTTCAAGCCTGCTCTCTTTTTCGTGCCTCTTTACATCTCTGGCCCACAGTCAAAGTGGCGCTATACACTTCACAGTCAGCTCACACTATCTGCGCCATCGCCCCATCATCCCTTTGCAACACCCATGCACAAACTGCCAGCCATCGCGTCTCTTACACGTGCGTGCCGCTTAGTGACACGCCGCTGGATCGGCTACTAGTAGCTGGGAACCACTGAAACGTGTCAGTGCGCCATCAATTGAATGCCTGTGGCGCAACACGGAGCGCCGTCCGCTTGAAGACGATGCCATACATAGCACCGTGACAAGTCTTGCGCGTCGAAGCACGCCATTACAAGCGGAGGCTGACTCTGTGGTTCGGCGTGGGAGCACTCAAACAGCCGCTAATACGGCTTTTCGACATGCCACAGCGCCACCGTTTCGCTATCGCTTTGGACTCTTAAGGACGCAACTCCGATGAGGCGTCAGAGACTGTCTCTCAAGCTAACCGGTCGACCAAACCATGAAAAGTAGTCACGACAATCATATCCTCTTCACCTGAACCAAAAAACCGAGTATGATCCATCGGTGCTCAGCAATCGCCTCCCGATTCCTTCGTCGTTTTGCGTCCTTCCAAAAGGATCGGTAAAGAGTGTGGTAAGCTTCTCGGAAATCGGCCCCATCTCCTGCTTCGATACCGGTACCGGGGGGCTCAACAAGCTCGGATCAGGCTGCAGGATGGCAAAGATGCTACTTTTCGACCTCCCAACCATCCGGCGAAGAACATCTTGCAGATTGTCGTACAATGGCCACAATGTTTCTAGGTACCGTGCTGCAACCGGCTCACACGGCTTAGACGGTTCCAGCATGTCCATGCATGATTTGGCGTACGCGAGATCTGCCTCAACACCGTCTGTCTGGCCATCCATGAGTTTGGTGCTTGCACTGAAAAGCAGGCAAATGGCGGCTGAAAAGGACCAATATATACTACACTTGTCAGCCTGCTTCACTTTCCTTCACTTTCTTCTGGAACTTACATGATCCAGCAGCGCTTAGTCAACGTGCCATCAAAGGAAATGAGTCCTAATATGCGCGCAATGTTCTGAGCGGCTGTCGAACATTCTCGTCTATACATCTTGATATCATCCGCTGACATGTTGTTCAATGGAGTTGCTGGTTCCTCGCCAAGCTGGGCTCCAGCCGCAGCAACAAGCAATTGACGGTATAGCAGAACCAAGGTGCCAAGATACATAATCTACCAAAAATAAATGTCAGCGCTGACACACAATCCAAGATATGCGGCTTCTTACATGTACCATGAAAATAGCTCGCCTCTGGTACTTGTTCAGTTCTTGAGCTTCGCTGGACAAAAGGGTAGGAATCTGCAAATTGTAGGGTACATCCTGGCGCCACTGCTCGAGCTTACGAGTAAGTAGAGTAATGTTAGCCTCAGTGGCTAGGTTGGGTGAAGCAAGCGTCTTTGCAACTTCAGCTGCAATCAAATTGATCTTGCTAGTCTGTGTGTGAATCATGTCATTTATCGAAAGGTGGTCTGGGCAGTCCACAACACACGCAATCTAGTCATGTTAGCGTTATATGAAAATCTACCAGTCTAGCCATGCCATACCTGGACATCGTTGTCCGTCACTTCTGAAGGGTAGCCAAGCGTGTACGAAAGCCACGAGTCCATGAAAATAAGACTTCGAAAGATTTTCCTCCAGCCCACATCGGCTGTCTGAGGCCGGCTCTGTGTTGCTGCACATTTCCAGCGGGCAATCTGCAATCCTGCGGCTGTGTCTTGTCAGCCTGTGTGTTGAATAGTTTAGTAGGAAGCTCGGTTACCAATAAGGTATTTTGCGCTCATGTGCTTCTCGAGGAGCGAGAAGAAAGACAATGAGAGCAACAAGCGCATTGTTCGAAAGTGATCTTGCCGGGCGGTCTGTTCATTGAAATGAAGGGTCCCCGAAGCGTAGAGTAGGCGCAACATGTCATTAGAGAAAGCATCAATATCATAATGCGCACCCATGGCGGCCACGGTAAAACATTCAGCAAGCGTCATATCGTCAACCTTTGTCTGGGGCCGGTAGATTCGGTCGAGAATTTCATCGGCTTGTTCAAATGTCCACATGAAAAGGAGCGAGCCGGTGCCTCGGATGAAGGCATACATGGACCGACGCACTCGCTCTTCGGGCGGGAGACGATTTTCATTGAAATGCTGAGCGCCTCCATTGATGATCTCGCTTCTCAGAGTTACCAGCTCACTAAAAGCTAGGGTCAGTGCGTTGTGGCAGGCTTCTGCGCCAGGCCCCAAGGGCGCAGCAGGCATCAGCGACACAGGACTGTCTATGGAGCTGGGGCTTGTCTGTGAGTATGGGCGGGTATTGTTGGATGTATCTGTTGTCGAGCGGCTGTTTCCTGGCCGTTGTCTGCTTGAAGAGGCGGTCGACTGCTGGGCTTTGAATTCATTCAGGTACATCTGGTGCTTTTGCCAGCTTTCGGTCTTCTTGTACTCGTCCATCTGGGCCTCAAACTCTTGCATGGACCGGGCAGCATTACTTTCCCACACGCGCTTCTTCTCGGCTGGGAGCTCCTGCCATCTGCGACCCACCTCGCGTGCAATGTCGACAAAGGACAGCTGGTTGACTTCTGGGTCTGTGCGAAGCTGGTCAGCAAAGTTGACATCTGTGATTGTTAGTAAGAGTGCAATATCAAGCGGACAACGCGCAAGCGTGTGATTGTCGTACAGGCAGTTTTTGGCTTCTTGGGCGCATTGGGATCTGGCCGGGGATGGCGCCGGTACCGCCGCTTCTCGCGTGGTGGCGGGGTAGTCGTCTGCCTGGTGAAGCTCTCGAGGGCCGACGCAGAGAGAGAGACTGGCTCTGGTGAATTAGACTCCGGGTCGAGTGAGAGGGTCTGAGGAATGCCGCGGTAGGTTGCAATCTCGCGCTGGAGCAGTCTGCGGTGGCCGAGTTTGAAGTTGAGGGCCGTCATGTCGTCCTCGGTGATGTCGAGGACGGCGCCCCAGGTATGAAAGCCATTGTCGGCGAGGACTTGAAGATACTCGGTTAACCCCAGCCGGCTCAGAACATCGGGCAGGTCTGGTGAAGTGGGACTTGAAGGGGAAGGGATCGCCATGAAGGGTGACGTCTGCAGAGGGAACGGATGGGAAATGGGACAAATGGCATATTTGAGCGTCACGCAGACGACATGGAAAGTGCCGCAGCAAAGACCATGCGGTGCAGACGGACAGAAGCTGAGAGAGACGGTATGGGATAGCGTGCAGCCGTGGCCTGTGATTCCAGACCCGGTAGATGAAAAGAAGGGTGTTCGAGGCCCTCACGGTCTCGACCCACCCTTTTGTCGGGCGCTAGTGGCTGCTGCAGCCCGGCCTGAGTGCGTGCAGCCGACGCAGCGCTGCAGTCAGATTGCTTGAATCTGTCACGGCCGCCTGCGTCTACAAAAGAGGGGGCTAAGTCATCGCCATGGCCTGAAACGCGACAGACATGCGTACGTGTGCCCGCAGAGTACGTACCGCTACACTACTTGGGAGCAACACGGCGTCGCCCTCGAATGCCGCATCGCTGCCGTGTCGGCGGCACGCGAGCCAGGCCATTCCCGTCCACAGCACTGTACACGACACAGCCGACTGCCTCTGCAAAGAAGCTTTCGGCGCCAGCGGCCATGGGCAATGGTGGATGGGTGGATGGGGCCATGGGCTTGTAAGTAGAGCTAGACGCCGAGTAAGTAATAATGCCATACTTGGATGATGAACAGCAGCGGGGACCATTCCAACAGGCACGGAACGTGTTCCCTCCTCTCTGTAGCAGCCAAGCACCATTCACAGGCAGGCCACTACTGGCTGTCATCTGCAGCGCAGTGCCCGCGTGGTATTGCAGGTAGCCGGGGAATGCTGATCGAAAAGTGCTCTGAGATCGCGGTGGTGCAGCAGAGGTCTAGACTGCGAGCCCATCTTCATGTCAGCGCCCCCAAGCACCGCGCTCGCCCGCCTCCTGTCTGCTGGCTTCCACGCCCTCCCGGTTCCCGTATGGAACAGGCCTCACTAGGCCAACCTAGGGCCACATGGCATTTCCCCTTCTCGCAAATCGGCTGACTTTCTCCACGCGCTCCCTGCACTGGCATAACGCTATCGTAGATCTGCCCAAGCTCCATTTGCTCAGCCTCACCATCTGTCAAATCATGCGACTTGGGCGCACTCCTCCCGCTAACGCCCTGTGCCAGCCACGCAGTCTCGACCGCTCCTGCTCCTGCTCCTGCTGCTGCTGCTGCTGCTGATGCTGATGCTGTGCCCGCTGTCGTTGTCCCTGTCACTCATGGCAAACGAAACAACTGTAGGGTCATGTGAAGGAAAAACCATGTTTCACGGTGTTATTCCTGGCTTCGGGCACTAGCCCTTCTGTCCCTCCGCCAAGCACTAGTACGAGCCACTAAACCATTTCGGGACTGCCTTCTCTGCTGCTACTGCTTGACGATTGCGCAACACTGCACGCCACAACCACGTCTACTACTCTGGATTCAGACAATGCCGTTTTTGTCTACATACTGCAATGCCCATCTCACAAGTACTTTTGCATCAGCTCCTTGACGCG